GGGAGAGAGAGAGGGAGAGAGAGAATCTTTTATCTTTCAATACTACACGTTGTATCATGTGGAAGAAATATCGTTGGCACTGTAGACTCAAAATATTTTGACATTGCAATACTTATTATCATTATCAACCTGGCAAAGTTATTGACGATGAAGTAACAGCTGTCGGTTTTTTCAACATTCTTGATGTAATTTTCGTTACTGATGTTAATTTGAATAGAATAGGCATCTTCGATAAATCCGTTTTTCTCACATGCCATGAAGTTGTAGTCAATTTAAAAGGTATCAACTTTGTCACCTGCCAAAATGTTATCAATTAAATTAATATGTTTTAAGCAAAATTCATTCACTCTTTTATTATTTTTTTCCATGTTTTTAAATCTTTTAATTGAAAATTCTCGATTGTAATCGCTTTTTTATTTCTTAATTGTATTTCTCTTCCAATAATCTTTAGCGTTTCACCTTTATTATCTTGTTTAGACTTTAAGAATTTTTCAATAAAATAAATACACTCTTTTACCTACTTTTTCTTTTTTTTTCATTTACTTGATGGAAAAAAAGGCTTATCCAGGACGAAAAATTTCGCTCAAAACATGCCTCATTTTCTTTATAAAAAAGAAAAAAAATCAAAAAAAAAGATTTCCGCTCATAACATGCCTCAATCTCTTTCATAACAAGCACCGGTACTGGTGCAGTTTGTTCCTCGTCCCGAATAATGGGTGAACCGGATACAATCATCTGTTGCAAATACAGATCCGGCAATGAGCAGTTACATCGACCTGAAATTCCAACAATTAACCTTCATCTAACACGTACTTCTTATCCTTCTGGTAATGAAAATCATAATTTAGATGTGAAAGTGATTCGAAAAAAAAACATCGATAGTCTTCAACAGCATCCAAACATACTTGACCTTCCAAGTAGAAGTAATTTGGTTAGCCAGTGGCTTATCTTCCTTATCAAGCTACTAATATGAATCTTTGAAAGTTTTAATATATCAAAATATTCAATTGCAAAAATTTTTTCAATTTTTAGGTTTAACCATTAATGCCTGGCTCTCCTTCCTCACCGATATTACCAACCAATCCAGTTGGACCAACTTTACCCTGTTGACCTTTTTTCCCTGAAAAACGTACAAACCATTAATTATTTCTCTTACTTCTTTAAGGCTATCAAAAGTCTAAAAGATTGGTTATGTACGATATTTTGATGTTCTCATAAATGAATTGACAAGTTTATAAAAAGTAATAGTATCGTTTTGACTTTGTGAAGTTTTATTTTAGTCAAAGATTTGGGAAGGACGGTACCGGGAGGTCCAGGAACACCTTGTGGTCCTGGTCGACCGGGTGGTCCTTGAAAAGCCATTAATTTGCGGCCAGTTTCGGCACAGTGACGATAAATACGCTTACAGGATGTTTCGAAAACAATCTTCTGAAATTTAAATAGTCCAATCTTTTTAATTTGAAACATTAAATTATCAAAACTTTGAAACTTTAATTTTTATACTGCATAATTTTGAACATTAGTCTTCGTTTTGCGAGAGAAAATTTTGTTACAGGAATAATGGTATCCTGTCCAACGTGCACAATCCATTGGTCGTGATTTCCAGCGGATGGTAGTGATAACAGTTGCGAGTGCTCAACTGTTGGTCGTTTCACTTCCGTAGATTGTCGTCTTATCCGAGTATGCATCACGCTGTTTTTGTCACATTTCAGCATCTTTGAAAAAATTCAACATTTTTCAGCAATACAGCTTGGCGTTGTATCACTACTATTTAGATGCATAATTTTGTTGCAATTTGCAGACCAAATGACAAAGTAATCAATAATGCTATTCAAAAACATTGTTGTTTATCAGTTAAATCATGCTACTTACTTCAATGTCAAAGTTAGAAAAATTGTCACAACCCGTAAATGGATATGTAATAAGAATGCTAATGTGATATGGGAGTATGGTATGGTAAAACAGGAAGAAAGTAAATAGATGAGGTAAAATTGAAAGAGTGCGAGGTGATGATGTAAAAGTAGTTTTACCTGCATTCGTATGGTAGTATCGGAGTAGAGTAGTATAAGGAGAAATAAATTTGCAAAATGAATAGTGTAAAGGTATTGAAGCCGTCGATGGTAGATAGTCATACAGAGGCATGCAGGAGACTCTTCCTCACTTAGTTCACTCCGACTTTCCGGAAAATGTTGACCTATAGGATGAAATAAGAGATGATAGCACTCACTGTGTATTAAAAATATATAAACAATTCATTTATAGCAGATAGCGAGCCATTCTGATTTGCTCGTTTCAAATATTTTATGCTATCTGTCGGATCTCTGTTTACATTTCGGATTGTGGGAACATCAGGAAAAGCTTGAAGATAAATCACAATAACACTTTACGAGAGTGAGAAGCAAATTTTCACTAAATAACCATTGCTAAATAAAATTCAATTCGTAAAGTTCATGGATTTTCGCATTAATCAAGTCATTGTAAGTGGAGGAACTATCGAGAATCCACGAATAAATGATTTCGGGATATTTATAATCCAGCATAGCATGGGTTACAGGAAATAGAATAAGCCGTTTGATTGAAAATATTCTCCAGTAACGAATAAAGCATACACAAGAGCTCAAGATTAAGGAAAATGTAATTGGAAATGTTCACACCATTATTATGAAAAGTCCTGCGCTTGCAAAAATTGGAAATTATTGGCGTACATATGCGACTCATTACGATATCTTGCAGGACTTTTCCCAAATTTCCGTTTTCCCACATGGGATTTTCTAAGAGCGTATTTCTGAAATTTTATTTTGTGTGTCACACATTTATGCACTCCCAAGTCCGATTAATCATTTCTCTTTTTCCTTCCTCCAACTTCATCCATTTGCTTGGTGTAACCAGTATTTCTAATTAATTTAATTTTATTTTTTCATTTCTCAAAGGTTTTTCTTTCCTTCTTCAATAGAATAACATCACTTAGTCACTGTTCCTGATCGACATCTGGTATCGCCATCAGGAAAAACCGCACGATACCAGAATATTCTGAAATAGAATATCTCCAGAGATTCAGCTATTTACATCTTTGTGAAGAAGAAACACAAACAAATAAAAACGAAATTACTGGAGAGGTGTCAACTTTTCTCCCTACTGTGCTTGCTTTCCTTCATTTTAGCTCTAGAATTTATTTGTTCTGAAGGATAAATTCAAAACAGCTACAGTTTTGTTCGAAAAGTTGGCAAAGTTTTGCAATTTTCTATGAACAGTATTCCTTTGTAATCAAATTTTGAGTTTGTTTTCGTTCATTTCAAGTTTCTTCAGAATAGGGCAATGACCTTCAATAACCATATTTCGACATTTAGAACAAAAAAAAAATTCATTCATTTATGATAATTTTATGTGTAACTTACAGAGGTCATTAGTCTTGACCCAGAAATGAACATGTAGCTCCTAACGCAAAGAAATACATATCAATGTTAAAAAGTTCCCCATTCGATATTGCTTGCAAATTCATCTTATCCTTTAAAAATGATGTACGATTGAGATCATCATTAAAAAGGTTTATTTATAATTTCCTCATTATCAGGCTTGGATTTTATCATATTGCTTTTTTTTCAACAATGATTTTTTCAGTAATTTGTTTCATACGAGATGCGGTGATTTTTTTCACTAAAAAAAATTAAACTTCTGGTATTTCATTATTTCTTTGCATCAAAAATCAGTTCAAATATAAAAAAATTAGTTCTTGCTGTGGATTGTTGCTAGTAAATTTAGCCTGCTATTTCGCACTTAAGCTTTTCAGTATAAAATTGCTTGCCCTAATTAATTTCAAAAATAAAGTTTAATAATCCCAAGCCTTTTAAATAATTGACTTCGCATTAAAAAATGTCATCATTGAATTGCGAAATGAGTGCCTAGTCTTGAAAGAAACATTATATATGTATTATGTTAATTAGAAATAATTTCTAATTTAAATTAAACTCTTTCTTTCCACTCCCAAATTTACTTGGGATGCGCATTTCATCGATTTTGAATATATTATTCAATAGAGCCTTCGGAAAGCTTCATGTTTTATTCATGCTGCAATAAATGACGCAACAGTAAATTGCTTCACATAATTTAAAATGTTCCGATTCTGTTATAAATCTTTTTTATGCACTTTTTTTCTATTCCGAAAATTTTATTCTGATATTGATAAAAGTGATCAAAGGGAATAAATAAATAGCTAAGTTATTTCTCTGTTTGTTTAGCCAATCTTTTACCATCCGCCTTTGTATACCTTTAAGCTGCAAGTATGCTAATGCCTCTGATATATGTCATCAACCTCATCTTGCACTTGCAATATTACCAAAATGATTGTATGTCAATTTCCCTCAACAGAATATTAAATTATCGCTTACATCTATAACGCATCAATTCTCAGCATAGAGGATGAAATTTCCAAAAAAAAAAGAAAAAAAAACCTGAAAAATGCTTTCATTCATTCTGGGAATTTTGATCAACTCAGCAAGAACTCGTCATATTATTTTTCCGTCAAACCAAATATTTCTGACTTAAGCTATCGAGAAATTTGTATATATCACTTGGCTTATACTTCCTTTCTTTCACTTAAGGAAAAGCTTTTGGGAATATGTTACTTGTACAATGAAGTTGGGGATTAGTATACTATCCATATATTTCTCTCTTCAACATCCATATAATTCTGGCTCCAGAAGTCATTACTTATATTAGGCTCATTGCATTTCACTACATTCATCGATGCTACTTTTGTTGTATTTTATTAGAATGTGCTATAAGCAAATACATCACCGCTTTTTCTTGATCGATCAGGCAATTTCAGCGGTACTTTGAAATTCTTCATTTTATTTATTTCCGATAAAATTTATTTAAAAGCCAAATGGACCAAACGAAGGCTTTCCTCACAAATGAAACTTCATTAGTACATCTTAGGCATTCTAGGATTTCTACTCTGCGAAGCATGTGGCCCAGACCATTTCGCTACTAACATCCTCGGCTGTTTAAAACATTCTTATCAAGAAGTCATCTTGACATCACTTTACAACTTATTATAATTTACTCATTTAATAACTTGTACGTTTCGTTTGACGTTTAGAAAAAGAACAGGAAAAGCAACGGTAGCCTGGTATTCATTTCGCGCTCTCCATCTAGTCCGATACAATCCAAAATTGTTTTATATTCAAAATTGTATTCTACAAAAACTAAACTAAAATGTCTCGTATATGTAAGTTTGCCTTTAGAAAATCCACAACTGTTTTCAAATATATATATCCAGTTAGAAAGGATTTTTTTTTGCAAAAGAAAAAGTAGACCAAAAGGTCGGAGACAGTGAATTTTAAAGCTTCTTTCAAAATAGGATCAATTTTTAAGCTTTTAATAGGTGAGACACAAATTAAATAAAGGTCCTGTTCTGTTATGGCCACAAGCGCCTTGGACAATATTTTTTTTTCCCAAGAACACTAATGGAAAAGAAGGAAAGCAGTGTGGGACAAGTTTCTTAGAAAATTTTCGAAAAACTAACTGCTAGAAAAATTCATTGTTTAGATGTTTTCCATAGAAATCTTTATTACATCGTGAAAAGTTCAAGGAAGTGAAATTATCGAGAAAGTAAAGAAGTTAGTCAGGTAATGAACTCTTTTGCTTTTTGAACTCATTCTATATTGGCTGTTGTTATCATTATGGTGATGATAGTAATGATGGTTTTAATTATGGTACTACTCGTGATGAATAATGTTAATCACGATAATTGCTGGTCAAAAAAAAAAAATGAAACGATAAACTTACTGATAAGGAGAAATGACATCAATATTGCTCTGCAATAAAGTGATAACATGGAATATTATCCTTTCAAATTACGAGAATTTCGATATTGGAATATCAATGTGCTTTTTATCGTCTTGATTCATTTCGAAAAAAACAACAGTATGCACTGCTAACTTGGTGATTGTCGAACTGATTCGAATTTTGTTTTGAAATGGGAATTTTTCATTCCAGTATCTTTCTCAAGTCTTTTCTTTTGTTCCAAATAGAGTGCTATCATTCCAACAAGCTTTATTTTTAAATCATTGCGATACTTTATGGCTGATCACTTCATATCATGAAAGTGTTAACATCAGGTGGCTTTTCGTGATTCCATCTATGATCCATATTTTTCAGTTCATCAATAATTTTATTTTGACCTATTAAGATTCCCAGTTTTATTCCGATCATCTTCCGCTTGCACTACAATAACGTAAGATAACACATATGATGTAAGTATTCTTACCTCATATATGATGCAAGAAGTATTCTAAGAAGTATTGTAAGTATTCTCATCTTGTCTTGTCTATGACAGATGGATGAGCCTGATGTTCACATGAGGCTTTATATATGCAAACTGCAGCCAAGACTAACAAAGGATCATTTTTCAACAATTGCATGCCGCATTTGCAGCTTTTTTTCATTTCTTCAACTACCGTTTTACTTCTAAGAAAGTTTATTTTCCTATTTGATAACGTTATTCTTAACTGACAATGAAAAAATCACTTCAAAAATTTTCAGATTTCTGGAAGAGGTAGAAATAGATAAAAAAAACTTCAGTTTTTTACCAAATACATTATCTTCACGAAGTGACTATTTCCAAAGTTATTTAGCCTAAAACTGCATCGGTTTGGGATATCAATCTACTTGAATACTGCTAAAATTCAAACGGAACATTTCTCTTTTAAACATTCTCATTCCATTTTTTAGACTTTTTGTAACGGATCAAACGGCTCAAATGTGCATAAATTAATCGAGCATAAAGAGTATGTCGGAAAATAGAAATATTTTTGCAGGTAAAAACTAGTTTTTGGAAACCTACGAACGAAAGTAAACCACTAGCAGACTCAGAAAGAGTTATTTGCATAATCCTTTGTGTCAAAAAGTGCCGAAGAAAAAAAAAAAGCACTGAAGATAGGCACGATAGTTTGCAATGTTAGAAGCTGAGTTGTGCACTCAGCAAACGCTCTCAAATCTGTGTACCATCATTATGAGATGTTTGTGTGTGCCATTTGCGCCCAACAATGTAAACTCATTCTATTCGGTTGAACAAAATCTTGATAAATCAATGCATGAACATGAACGATACAATCCCGCCGCAACGTAATGTTAAAACACGGCAATATTGATTGAATTTTTTTAGAAGTGAGATTCTTCTCTCTCTCTCTCTCTCTCTTTCTTCTTTTATTCTCAAATTTTTGTGGACATAGTTGTTGTGAAATAAATCACTGAAGAGGCCATTTGAAATGAGAAATTGAATGATTGGAAGTGAACGGCGATTTATCTTCTACTGTTTATTCAATTTAAGCTTACTGATAGCTTTCATTTTTATTGCTAAGTTTGATTTGGTTAAGAAAAAAATCGTTTATAGTTGAACATACAAAGCCATCGTTTACGTATTTAAATGTAAAAAAAAAAAAAGCAGGTCATCTAGGAAGAAAGAGGGCGAGAAGTGATATTTTGAATATGAATCGGTATGGAATAAGAAAGCTTATTAATATCCAAGAATAGGTTGGTTTGAAATTCTACAGAAGAATTTCTGGATAATCTTCGATCTTATTGTTATCCCATTGAATATATTTCCTGGAAATTTCAGACAGCGGGGAAAAAATAGCTAACATGTTAGCTATGGCTGGATTATTGAAACCTTTGATGGCGTAACAAGGAAAATAACTTGCTATACTGTTCAATGAATTTCTTAAGTTTGCTGAAAGTTTCTCTCATTTTTGTGGTTCTGTGATGAATTGAAGTTTCAATTTTGAAGTAGCAATTGAGAAGTGAGCAAAGTGTCAGGTGTAAATGATCAGTTATCTCATGAACCTCTTACCAGCTGTTTGTATTCGTTTTGCAGGCGGATAAGTACATATGAGTTAACTAATTCTAGTCGAATCAGTCTCCAGTGATAAATTTAATTTCCTGTTTGACAAAGGATTTGCTAAGAGTTAGAATCAGTGCTAAATTCGAACAAGTGACAGGGTGACATGATTGCACCTCTAAAGTTTATATACCTCAAATGGTAGATTAGAGATTGAATGCACTTCCCAGCTGATTTCATAGACTTGCATGAAAAGGACATTCTCGAAGGTCTAAAAAAAATGTGTCCTCTCTCGCATCGCTTTAGTTTAGTGTAGCTTTTTTTTGCTTTCATTAATCTCTTCATCGTTTTCGCTAATGATCGTTAAGCTAATGATCGTTCGTCAATAGGACGAAGAAATTATTTTAAAGCTAAGATGGAATAAGTGACGGAAGTGAATTGTATTCAGAATATAAGCTATGTATTAAAAAGCAAATTATGACGGTATCAATGAAAGATGGTTTAAAATGCTGATTTCTGATGCTGTTGATTTATAGATCGATAGATGACGAACAATGATCGTGATGGTTTGACAATTCCTCTTCTGTGATAAAAGTCGCCGCGTTGATACCAACTGGGACAAGCAGTGTAATAGTTTTTGGATGTTCTTCACTTTCACGTTGAAATCATTTGCCTGGCAGATGTAAGTATCATTAAACATTCAAAATGTGGAAGTTTGTATTTTGAAATTACTATCAGTTCATTTTGAGACATCTCCGGAAATGCACTTTCACGAAACTTAAGGTTTCGCTAAAAGGCATTAAGCTTTGAGAAGCTGCCAAATATGATGTCAAACTTACCCGATCATTTTTACAAATATACCTGAAAAGTTTTCATCCACGTCTTAAAGGATCCTTCAGGATGAAAATATATTTTGACCAGAAAACCATCAAGAACCTAAAAATAATCAGAAATGGTAATTGTTTTCCGATTTTGCAGCAGCATTGGTAATAACTACTCTGAATGATTGGTAGATAGCAATATCGAAAGAAGGTAAAAGAGGACAAAGAATTCAGGAGACCTATCTTCAGAAAAATGAAAATTTGTATATGCGTTTGAATTTCTCACCTGACATATGCACCCGGATTGAAAGCTGTCAATTTGAGAAATCAAAATTCTACTTCTTGCAGGCCAGGCTCTACTCCTGTTCCAGTCCCTATCTCCACTACGTCTGTTCCTGTACTAGTTCTTGGACTACTACTGGATGGGTATTTTATTTCAACGTCATTTGGTAAATAAATACACCTTTAGCACTACCTTATCATTATCCTCATACTCTGCAGTTCTTAATGCAAGTATGTTAACTATTCTCCTTTGTTCTATTCCATTCCATTTCATTTCATTTCATCAAATGCCTCCCTAAAATGCATTATGCTGGTTAGATATATGTCAGTTAACACTAACAATTTATTTCAGTTCCTAGTCTTTAATTGACCTCTCCCCTCATTACCATTCTCTTTAATGTTATTTTTTTTTTTTTTGTTGTTTATTGATCTATTATGAACTCATCAAAACATCAAATTGATAAGCACAGTAAATATATAACAGTGACAACCATTTTATTATGTTTAGTTAGGCAATTTCACTGAGATTATCAGTATCAGGTTTTAGGATAGTATCATTATTCCCCACATCACATCCACTAATCACATTTAATCACCAACCTCTCTCTCTCTCTCTCTCTCCTCCTCTTCTCTCT